GCTTTGCTTCAATTCGGATGCATTATCAGTCTGTAAAAACTTAACGCTATGTCCAAATAGATTTTTGATTTTGTTGAATACCCACACGAACTTCTCGACAACCTCTTCTCGAGTAGTTAAGAAGAACACGAAGCGGAAACCAGTGCACTCGTCCTTGAATACAACCATGTAGTTGTGATCGTCATACGAACGTATCGGCATCGGGCCGCTGATGTCGGCGTAAATTAGATCGCCTGGCTGGTAATCAGGTTTCATCATCGAATTGAATTTTTTTTGACTTTTTTTGTAACATTTTTCCCATTTGGCACGGCTCATACACAAATTTTTCGTCAAACTTGAGACCGGGTATTGCTCCGCTAGCCACTAGCTGCCGCATCCGCGGCTCCGATGGATGTCCCATTCGCTCGTGCCACAGGCGCATGTCATCGATCGCATTCGCCTCAGCAATAGCCGGCCGGCGGATTTTGAGCGAAAATAAATTGTTCGCCGACTGTTCGGTAACCAGCATTAATTGGCCACCCTTTAAAAATTTTGGTAAATATAGCGAATAGAGGACCCAGCCCCAATGACCTTGACCTTGACATATGTTGTCAAGGACATAATTCTGAGTAACTTTTTCTTCTAATTTAATCGTCTCTCGTTGTTTATTAAAAAGTTATTAACAAAAAAAGTTTGAAATATACCAAAGTACACGCATAGACAGGAAGCACGCGCGCGTGATTCCTGTCCGTGCATGTACTTTGGTATATTCCAAACTTTTTTTGTTAATAACTTTTTAATAAGCAACGAGCGACGATTAAGTGTTTATTTTAGTTTATATGTGTAGTATACGTAGGACTATTTCTGTAAACTAACTTAAGTTTCCAGTTTTTCATTGTCAGACTATGTATAAATCTTGATTTTTACAAATTTTTGTTTGTTAATAACTTTTTAATAAGCAACGAGCGACGATTAAATTAGAAGAAAAAGTTAGTCAGAATTATGACATTGACAACATATGTCAAGGTCAAGGTCATTGGGGCTGAGTCCTTTATTCGCTATATTTACCCTTATATTTTATTTTTGAATACCCTATATATGTAAAAACTTGTGTTTATTTTAGTTTATATGTGTAGTATACGTTGGACTGTTTCTGTAAACTAATTTAAATATCCAGTTTTTCATTGTCAGACTATGTATAAATCTTGATTTTTACAAATTTTTGTTTGTTAATAACTTTTTAATAAGCAACGAGCGACGATTAAATTAGAAGAAAAAGTGGTAAATGTTCAGATTAACTTACACCTCACGGATCGTTCTCATTTTTACATATATTATAGAGGGCACGTTCCTAAGTAACACGCACTTTGAATTTTGTGGCGCTCTCTTCTGGTTTCAGAGATATGCGATTTTGAAGTATCATAATTTTCGCATTTATTTCTATGATCTTTTCACTATATCTTACTTGCATGTTTATGTTTTTTTGTTTACATTTGCGTCACTGTCAGTATATTTT